CTCTTTCAGTTTGTAAAGATTTGTCCACAAGCTTCCTTTTCATGCTGTGTAGAAGAATGACGGTTCATTGAGGAAACTCATTGACCAGCGGGTGAATGGCGTGTAACCCGACCGGTTTGTACCGTTAGGAAAATCTCCTGGGCTTAGTGTTTGCCATTATTTCCGTGCACATCTGTGCTGAAAACGTGGACAATCTGCCATTAGAGAGAAAACGCTAACTCATCAAATAGCCTAATATTCATCGTGGACACAGGCTCTGTTTCCTAGGAAGGCAATTGCTAACAATACATATTGCTCCGGGTGTTCGTTACTAACATACAATTTACATCACTAATCTTGGAAACAGTGATTTTTATAATAATTAAAGTTCAACCTAGTAACACGTAAATGACTTGTTAATATCTAGCAACAGTCAAAAATGTATATTTCACTAATATAAAACCATGGGAGTTATTTCAGTTAAAAATGATAATTATCCCATCACCAAAATGGATCATATTTGACAGAAACAGTAGTTCATACAAATAGTTGAAAAAGTGGGTCCAGACAACAACGTAAGTTAAGGCAACACAGCTCAACAGGGAAACTACGTACAGATATACAGAAGTAGTATGACAGATATAATGCAATATATGGTCATATCTGTCTGCCGGACGTCGTTGAAAATAAAAATAAAACGTAAATAAAATTAACTACCCGTCGCCCCTATGGCACTTTAAATCTCGATTTCTGTAAAAAGTTTTCTTCCGTTTTTTTCCGCGCGGAAGAATTTTAGAGGAATTGAGGATAAGTGAAAAATATCCACTGTATCGGGAATTGAATTTTGAGCTGAAACGACTATTTGCAGGCAAAACACCCACTGTCTTACTTGTAATGGATAATGGCAATAAGAATTAAACTATGAAAATTAAGAGACAACCATAAGAAGAAATAGATGATGACGGGGTCCCCATTATGTAACGAACCTTACGTGGTAGAAGACTCATTTTCTCGTGTATGTCCAAACAAAACGACATAGAAAAACAAAAAGTTACCCTTGAAAAAAATAGTTAATAGTTGACAAAAATAGTTAACAAAATGATATTTTTCCAAACTTTGTTATTTTTGGACCAATTTAAAATCGGATTTTTTAAACTTTTCTTCCTCATTTCTACATCAAATATTAACAAGCCGATTAAACTGTCATTTTTGAAATATTTGTGACAAATAGCCTGAAAATGCTTGAACCCAATTTTGAGACTACACGAGTTAAATAATCCTTGTCCTACACCTCGTAACCCTTTCCTTTATGGCATTGTCAAATACGATGAATTATTGGGTTATTTTGCAATTCGTTGAACCGCATTTGAGACTACTTGTCTTTTCACTACAAAAGCGCACTTGCCGTTTGCCAAATTTCCAAATCGTTTCCAGATAGTTTTCAGGTAAAAATTGCCTGAAGATGTTAAATTCGTAACCATTCCGGCCGAAATCCTGCGACATCTGTAGGACTCGAGTGGTGTCATTACGAGGAGAAGCCGACTGAGATAATTCGGCCGTCTCCCCAGAAGGGTTGCGTCCACCAGGTGGCCGAGAAGTAAAAAGGCATATTTCATAAAAGGGCGGCTCCTTTGCCGAAACGGCCATTCGGCTCACTAATATGACTAATGTCCGAGCTCTCTCCCAGGCTCATTCACACCCGGACAATGAGACCGCACAGAGGAGCCGCTCGCTGATCCCGTTTCGAACGCGGTCAACAAAAAGCGCAAACTGCCATTGAAATAAACAACCACGTTTTGTGGTTTCCAGGGTCGAAAATCTTATTTTGTAGCACGTAGGCGCAACAACCTGGCTATAATCTGGAAAAGGGTACATTAAAGCAGGTCCAAACTTAGCCAAAGCCGTACCGTAACTGTAACATGATAACGTCGGAAGTGACAAGCCGCGTTCCAACACTTATCGGGTTTAGAGCGTCACATCTAGCGATATTGAGTCCTATCTAACTTGTCTACACTGAACTGCGTCATGGTGTTTCACGTGCAATCATACTATTTTTCTCGACATTATATTTTATTTCAATCCTTTCATGATAGTTGATAGTATGACAGTAACCATGGGGAGCCAAATGGCTATATACTGCAATTATTCTACCTAGATTATTGTTCGCAGCTTTAGTATGGTGGATAGGTCTAGAAAATAAAGGGAACAATAACAAATTAAGGTCATTTCAAAGACTAAGTTGTTTGATGATGACAGGAGCATTTTCAACTACATCCACCCTAGCACTTGAAATCATAACCAATACCTCACCTCTACACATTGAGGTTAAGGTCAGAGCACTAATCAGCCGCTACAGATTAATTAGCAAAGACAGCTGGAATAACATAGGTCACTCGAAAATCTTACAACTATTGAGTAAGGTGATAAAAATATTAAAACCCTTCCGGGGAAAAGTACTTTCAGGTAGTCACCCCTTGTGAATATAATTATAGCATGGGTGATGACCATCGCAACATAGACTGCTACACAGATGGTTCACTTATCAAAGTTAGAGGGAGCGGTGCAGGAATCTACGTACCTAAATTAGGAATCAGCATCTCCTCTCCTCTTGGTAATAACACCTCCGTTTTTCAAGCGAAATCTGGGCTGTTAATGTGTGTTGTAGAACATTTTTGGAAAATAAAATTAAGAGAAAAGATATTAGAATTTTTTCAGACAGTCAGACTAGTCTTAGGTCGTTAGAAAAAAATTATCAACCTCTAGACTGGTGGAGGAAACTGTAGATCTTATCAACAGGATCTCTTCCAGGTTTGAGAACAAGGAACTTATTTGGATACCAGCACATAAAGGACAGTATGGCAATGAAGAGGCGGATAGCCTGGCCAAAAAAGGCTCTAATACTGCGTTTGTCGGGCCTCAACCGGTATTACCTCACTCTATGAGCACAGCGAAAGAGAGTATTAAAAACTGGGGTATGAAAAATTCCTTAAGGAGTGGAATCTATCCCCCGGACACAGGCAAGCGAAAGAGTTTGTTAAGGTGATCAAACCAGCAGAATCGAAACGGCTATTCTGTAACGCAAGGAAGGAAATTAGGAGGCTGATAGGTATCCTGATGGGCCACTGTCCACTGAGAAGACACCTCTTCGTAATGGGTATTCTACCAGATCCTTTTTGCCGTTTTTGCGAAATAAAAGAAGAATCGGCAAGGCACTACCTCGCAGAGTGTGATAGGTATGCTAGGTCTAGATTTATCTTTGAAGGAGCGGACATCACCAAATCACTTCCCGGGATAAAATGGTCCAAAATCTTGGGCTTTGTGAACAAGTCCAAGAGATTTATGCAGGACACGTGAGCGGACCAAGTCCCGGACTTTTTAGGNGAGAGAGAGAGAGAAAGAGCTTCATAACAGGAGTGTACACAGATTCTAAAATGTGTAGTGTTTAATGACCGTTAATTAATAATTATTTCGATATCGTGAGAAGCGGTCTGGTGTGACGGTTTAGAAAAACATTTTCTTTGTCGTGCCAACGTTTCGATCTTTATTGAGGTCATATTCAGGGTCTGGGATTTGTAAACGTTATTTAAATTTTTTATGTAAGGTATTAGGTTGAAATGAAAAAGTTAGTGTCACGAGCTGGATTCGAACCGACGTCCTTCGCCTCAATACGCCGCTGGTCGTGACACGATAGCTCAAGTGGGTTCGAATCCCGCTCGTAACACTCACCTTTTAATTTCAACCAATACCTTACATAAAAAGATTAATTAATTGAAAAAAGGGGGGTTAAAGTTAATTTGGTGGGTGAGATAGAAGGTCACGAGGCCATCATCGTTTTAAACGGCGCGGAGGATTGTAAGGGTGAGATATTGAGGAAAGAGTAAGGGCCATTGGGTTAGGGTGGAAGGAGTGTTTAAAGTGGAACGTGAAGAAGCGCGTTCGGATAAGATCTTTCACAAAAGTGACATTAGTTATTAGTGACATAGAAGGGAGCATTGAGAATACGGCGGAGAACTTTAGATTGAAAAGATTGAATTCGTTGGATATTGGATGATTCGGCCGAGCCCCACAGCTCGACTCCGTAAGTCCAAATAGGTCTGATGAGTGTTTTGTGAGCGGTTAGTTTGTTATGTATGCTTAGTATGATTTTGGTCCAAGTAGGTGTCTGAGTAGACCGTATCTTTTGTTAATTTTTTGCCGTTTTAATCTTGTATGTGGGTTCCAAGTAAGTCTACTGTCTAAGTAAAACCCAAGGTAGCGGACTTGGTTCGATGATGGTTGTAAATTGCACTGGTGGACAGGTTTGACGTTTGAGTGTAAACGTAGCTTGTTGGCTTTTTTGTTCACTTAACCTGATCCGCCACAGATTGCACCAGTTGGAATTATACAACGAAATTCATTTTTTCACATCCTACATGTATTTGTATAATTTAAACAATGTTTATAAATCCCAGGCTCTGAAGATGATTTCCATAAAGATCGAAACGTGTGGTGATTAGTGACCGTTAGTCGAAAATTATTCAGAAATCGTGAGATGCGGTCTGGTGTGATGTAGGTTTCAGAAAAATATTTTCTTTATAGTGCCAACGTTTCGATCTTTATTGAGATCATCTTCAGGGCCTGGGATTTACAAACATTGTTTTCATTTAACAAATACATTTAGGATGTGAAAATAGAAGATAGAAATACTTTGATTGAATATAAAAAATATATTTTGCATTGTATAAATTCACTTTTTCACATCAAATGTATTTGTTAAATGTAAACAATGTTTGTAAATCCCAGGCCCTGAAGATGATCTCAATAAAAGATCGAAACGTTGGCACGATAAAGAAAATGTTTTTCTAAAACCTACGTCACACCAGGCCGCATGTCACGATCTCCAAATAATCAGATTCTGAAATATTATAACGCTGTTAGATTTCTACATAAAATTTAAAACTCTGCCTCTGATAATTTTTATTAACAATTCTTTGAGAAATTGTAATAAAAAAAATGGTTTATCCTTCAAAACGCAATGACGTTGCGTTTAAAGTCTGCTAAAAAAGGATCGGCAGAACTCAAAGCGTTGCTTAAATCGGCAACTCCGTGTTTCCGTCTCATCGCCCCATCGGAAAGCCTTAATGATTCTAAATTCGCAATACTCAGCACCCGGGGGTAAGGAGAAAAAAATTGGAAGAAAATGTGTTTTTTTAAAGGCAGCGGACACGCGGATGGAGCGTTCATTGTAATTGGAGGACTTCCTGTAGAAAACGAGCTCCTCTTCCTTGAATGACCTGTTCGTATGAAAAGAATCCTATCCTACCTGGCAAGAAAAAAACGATTTATCTCAATTCAATTCAGCCCGTCTTCGGCAAATGGAAAAAATAAAAAAGAACGCATATGCAGAAGTCGTAAATAAGCCAATCTTGGCATGAAATCTAGACAGTCGTTTATATTTGTTTGCAGAAAGACGGGATTACATTCGTCCCTAGGATCCCATTACACAAACATCAAAACACGTATATTCAAATAGGCTTTGTACGGAAATCGAGTCTCAAATAGTAAAAGAAAAAAAAAAGGTAGGACGCATAAAGACATAATGGAGGGATAACAAGAGTTTTGACATCTTAAAAAAAGAAAAATGCACTTTGGATCAGCGAGGAATAGACTTACTTACTCTTATAAAATATGATGATTAACGATTTTCTGGTTCATTGAATATGTATGTATCTTAATTAAAAACCCATGAAAGAATTATTCATATTTTTGAATCAATTTATCATCTTTAGAATAATAGTGATGTTATAATAAAAAGATCATGTTTGTTAGCAGGTAGGGACTAACCTACTTAATATAAAGTCGTCAGACAGAAGCAAACTATGTCAATCCAGCAAGGTGTCACCTTGAACTTTTGAATAGATAAGTGAGTAAAACCGCAGAACATTACGTTATGTTTAATTTGATAACTCAAGAAAGTGCAGGAGGCGTAAAAATGTATGATGATCATACTAGGAAGTGGGGACTTTGTTCTCCAAAAACTGCAGCCTTTAGTTTTACTATACTTTCCTAGTTCCTTAGTTCAGCGCAATTGATTTTATCCTGCTCCTAAACAATACTAGGTAATTGACTGTAATTGCTACAATTCCTTTCTCTGGGGTTTCTTTTATCATTTATGTGGGTTATGTCTCCATTGAGCGGTTGCTTCGTGTTGACGGGTTTCTTTCTCAACATTTCATAACCTACAAATGGGGTCGTCACTGAATATGCCCTGGTCGTATTTTGAAATATTTGATTAAAAATTTTTTGGATAGCTGACTGTTCCAAATTTCATACTTGGAGTTATGTTCTCTATTCTTAAAATATTCTTTTGATGTCACTAGCTATTTTATTAATAAGAAATTTTCTTTACAGGTGCACTTATCAATTTGCTTTTGTTTTAGACTTGCTAAGGATAAAGCGATCATAAAGTGATACATAATTTATATGATTGAAAGTCAGTCGACAGTCTAAATAAACGTCCAATATGAAACATAAAACTAAGTTCAATAAAACAGCTTTGTTTTTTCTGGTTCTATGGTAATAGTTTAATCATTTGGTCGTTTCCAATCTTGATCATTGAAAAAAAAAAAAAAAAAAAAAACCAACAAAGAAGAACTGGAGAGTAATTCATATTAATCAATGCACATTCACATTTGTCAAAGGGAGGAAATCGCGAGGCGAATGCTCATTAGGCCCATAAGGGGGTTTATCGAGTTGTGTCAATGTGGAGGTCTGTGTGGATAGTAAGTTTTGATATGAAGTAGGGTGCTTGGGCGAAGGATTTTGGTATGACTGGAATTTTTGGAGGTTGGAGCGTTGGTCGAAGCTCCAGTTAAATTCATTTCGTTCAAATCGTTTGTAATAATGATGCATAGATGATGAGTTTTCTTTTTAGTGATAGTTTTGATCTGTTATTCAGTAGTTTTTTGGGTTGTTTATGTTGTCTGTTTAGTGTGTTCCAAATAGATCTTTTGTCAAAGTAAAGCCCCAAATACAGACATCATTGGTTGAAGGGAGAAGAGAAGAGTTTTATTATATTGGAGGATAAGTGATCCTGAAGAGGGTGAAGTTTATTCCATGGAATTTGGTTTCGCTGAATCTAATCTTCCATTTCTTGAACCATTCTTCAAAAAAAGATTTTCCTACGGTTTTAGACGACTACTAGGTCTGGGTTTGCTGAAAGGATGGCAGTATCATCTCCATATGTTACGAGTACACTATCTTGAGTCTGCGGAGTACACTGAATAGATAATGGGGACGAAGATGCTGCCTTGAGGAAAATTCGCTTTGGCTCATCCATTAGGATAAGGTGAAGGATTTTGGTTGAAGAGAACAGTTCGATTCCGTACATGTAGATTGGTTGTAGAAATGATGTGTAAATGGTAATGGTGTTTGGAGTTTAGTGAAAGTTTCAATCTGTCTGATCGAGGTCATATTATGAATATATGTGTAAGTTGCATTTAATGCAGAAAATATGATCAGTTTAGCCGATACCCAGTTGAGTGGTTCTAAGAAACCCATCTAATATAAACTTGGCCATTTCAGATCATTTGACCTCCGCATCCTTGTTGTTTTCGCGTATCAGAGTTTGGGCTCCTCGCCATCTTGCATGTTGATTATGTTGTTAACTTTTTCATTTTTTTTAAACTGTTTTTCCATTATATGTTTGTAAAAACTGAAAGAGATTTGTTGTTTTTATCTTTGTCTGTTAGTATTTTTCATGGTTTTGAAATTTTTTGTGTAGATTCGCCGAGGGATGAACATGTAGTTTAATCATTTTGGTCATCCTGATGATCACCTTGATGATTTGTTTCAGAAGCACACTAACCGACTGCTGCTGGCAGAGGAAAGTGGAATAGACCAAAATGATCGAAACTCCAAGCCTGAGGTTCATCATCCTACAGACATCAAGAAGAAAGCTCACAATTTAGCATTGTAGAGTTGCTCTTTGAACCTAACTTTAAGATGGATGAAATATATCTATTATATAATTCAAATTTATGAGGAAAATATTCAATTTTTTCCAGAACATTAAGGTTCTCAATCCTTCATTTCTTTTTCCAGGAAATCTTTCCCTTGGGGTTGTTCTTCAAGGAAAAGTTGTCTCTCGCGATGACTTTCACAATCAGTGGTTTAGGGTGTGTGCGGGGCGTGTTTGTGATATCGGGGCGAGTGCTGGGCACCTGTGTTTGTGCCCCTCCTGACCCAGTTACGGACAGATGTTACCCCGGGTGCTGAACCGGGCAGATGCCACCTTCCGCTTCCTCCATAACGGGACAGCACGAGTCCGCGGTACGCAGGTATCCTCTTCTCTTCCTCATACCTATACCGTTTCCCTCTTCAGGGTCCCTTATTAATAATATATTAGGGGGTAAGCACGACCCGCCCCGCTATCCCCGGCTGAACGCACTCGTGAACAATGCCCCGACCCAGGAAGCTATTAAACTGCATAAAGGGGAAAAATGAATATGGACCTATAACTCAGTGGTATTGTTCCTTCTTACATTGGAAGGCATCAATCGAATTTCTTAACGGGATATGATTTTTACAAAACCCAGGCACACCAATCTAAAAAAAAGAGACAACGACATTTCTTGATGTTAAATTTCCTAGGACACCTACCTGAACAATTTATAGAATCAGACCGAAACAAATGGCAAACATTGGTTGGTGAATATAGCTTTCCGTTGCTTGAAGAGATTAAACTTTGTATTGACGAACATATTTTAACTTTGGTGATGGACACAACCAGGGCATCGAATGATGAACCAATAATTTGAACATCTTCCATCAACTTGGACTATATTATCATTGATTTCATCTCTCTAACGAATTTCACCTATTCCTGATTTATGTGTCTCTTTGAACTTATGTCATTCGATACAAGTATGAATCATCAGCGAAACACGTTTGTGACAGACAAAACCAGCACTAACAGACAGAGCAGAATGCTCAGAGATGATCAAAGTGCTGATAATTAAGGGCTGACAATTTGATCTAAAATTATAATTCCATCTAGATCACTATTTAGACTAATACAAACCATAGGTGATAAGAGAAATTGTGATACCAATAGATAGTCTTTTTGCAACAAATTCGTGGGGGTTTTCTTTTTTTGTACTTGCTTATAATAAGGAAAACTTAAACATATTAAGCTGTGCCAGGAACAATATTTTTCAAACCAAAGGTACCAGAACAAAAAACTCGGGATGATCCTTGGCTAGATTACGGCTGAACATGCTAGACCTTTCGTTAGACTTTGATCAAACCGTACATTTCGTCTAATAAAATAAATAATCAATAAAACAATAATATTTCAAAAGAGGAAAACAATCAATGGAGATTGCAAAACCAATCAATTAGTCATAAACTAATTGGTGGCAGAAAGTTTTTCAAGCGACGAGATATTTGCCTTAAGGACTTCTCTTTTTCAAATAATCTAGTGGCATATGAGAATAACCTTTGTACAAGCGCGGAAGAAGGCAACGGAGTGTTGAACTTATAAAAAATTAATCCATTTATGTTTAGTGATCTAATTGACCAAATTACTTATTTCAATTAATTATTCTTTATGTACGGCCTTGGTTGAGATAAAAAATTTAGTATCACGAGCGGGATTCGAACCCATGATCGAAGTCGCGATAGCTGAAATGGTTAGAGCATCGGCGTATTAGCCGAAGGTTGGGTTCGAATCCCCCTCATGACACTAAATTTTTCATCTCAACCAAGACCTTACTTTTTATAGCTGGATATTTTTCCAATTAGCTAAATCTCATGACGGATCATTTAAGTACTGATGTGTTTGTAGTTCAATCATGGATAAATCTGGGAATGGAACGGATATAAATGAGGATTCTTCAAAATCAAAAAATGCTTCATAATCTCTGTTGGTGTCGTTAGTGGAGGAACTATGAGAAGTATTCTCCAAAACGAGGCTGATTGCTTGCTTGCAAAGCCGTAACTAACAGTCCGCAATGTATAAAAACAAGTTGAGACACAACTTGCAATTTATTGTTGAGAGAAAGTATAGACGGTAATAAAATTCCGATAAAAATATTGTTTTCAGCTTGCAAAATATCAATCAAATCGGGGAATGGTTTTGTACATTCAAGGTGTTCATTAATGTACTGGATTTACAAGCATTGTTTACATTATACAAATACAGATGTGAAATAATGTACACAAAGTAGTAATTTTAGGTTTAATCAAAAGAATTTGGACTCACTCAAAGTGTGTGTTTTCTGCGTATGTATGTCGTGAATGTTGGTATTTAGTTGTGTTAGTGTGGCATTGCAGTTGCTATTGTCTCATTGAAAAAAGTATCGTTTTTAATTTACAGTGTATTAGTCTACTTTTTACCCCATCAAGTCGGAATAGTTTCATAAAATTGCTAGCATTGTCTGCAACCGCTATCTTACTATTTTACAATCCACATTGGTCATATATTTATTTTAATACAAAAGCAATTCGTTCAGCTGAATGCGTGTTTCGAAAAAGACGGCAAGCCAAAGCCAAAGATTACCTCTCAAATTTTTCGGTTATCCAATGCGTCGTAATCTCCAAGAAAGTTCTTCTTCTACCTGACCAAATATCACAAGTTGTACAATTAGGAGGTCCGAAGCTTCCTTGTATCACCTTAATGGATTATTCACTGGCATACAAAGAATTTGTACGACAATTATAGTTTCTGCATATATGACCCTCAATTTATGTTCACACTCTAAATAACTAAATTCACTAATTTCGTGGTCCGCTTGACCAATTGATATATTACAATTAATTAAGGTTTTAGTTGAGATAAAAAAGTCAATGGCACGAACGGGATTCGAACCCACGATCTTCGGCTAGATACGCCGCTGCTCTACCACTTGAGCTATCGGGACCTCGATCCACTCGGACATCAACTTCCCATCTCAACCCCACCTTTTGAATTTTCCTTCCCTTGAATTTTTGCCATTTTTCACTCTAAATAACACTGATCCATCTTCCTCCCGAAAGTTCGCCGACCAAACAATTTGATGTCCGCTAACATTCCCATGAAACATTTGTTTTCAACTGTCCGGAGGGGGACTATCCCATCAATTATAAATTTTATTAATGAGCCATTAAACTTTTCACATTTTTTTTGGTAGTTGAAGTGGTCATTTTTAACTCTTTATGCAGAATTAGAAGTAGCTTTTATGTTCCCCTACAATTCTACTCTTCTTATTGTTGGCATATTCTTGTATGCAATCACGATTTCCATATCAGGTTCTGTAAATGGGACATGTTCCATAGCCCTTGATTTCTACATTTTCAGGGAGGCAAAGCATACAAGTGCCGATAGATAGCAGCATATTTCAATTTAAAGAACTTACCATGTAAAATGGTAATCTTCACGTTCAATTTGTACAGCTTTCCCCTTCTTCTTTGGATAAGATCATCACTGCTTACACGGTATGGACACTGAGATAGACATAGTGACTTATTTCTTCAACTGAATGGGATAAACACTGCAGGTTCCAACAAACCAAAGCATTGTGTAATTGTAAACAAAAAGGAAAGGGACTCCTGACGAAAACGAGTCCTGAGTAATCACTCATTTTTGAGAGTGATGAGTGATAATTGAAAATATGATTTGTGACTAATGAGTGATGAGTAATGATTAAATGTTCACTCATGGTTAATACACGAATAAGTCTTACTCTAGTAAGTGCCAACACTCTTAAGTTTAATTCCAAATCATCTTCAAGTGGAACCAACCTCAAGTAGCATAGGCGCTCCGATCAGCTGGTAAGGTAGCGTCAGTATTCTTAGATATAAACTCTTGAAGCACATTGGCTTGTTACAAAGTTTGCATTTATTGGCAAATAAAAACAAACGTGAGTTAATTTTTTTAAAATCAGATAATACATTTTTCTGCATTTGATTCCGAGCTGTTTTTGATATCAGCGTACCATTATTTCAAATGAAATTCGTTTATTATTTAACATTGGTATATATTAGGTGTATTCATTTTGTAAAGTTTACGTGTTAGAATCGAAAAACGCCAAACAGCAAAGGAAGGGTCCAATGGTTGGTACATCGACGTGCAGAAACTGCATATTTGCTTTTGTCGAATTTTCTACATTATCCTGTTTATCAAAGGCGAAATTCCATTGACGGCAATTATTTTCCTTTTTCCTCAAATAAGCCGGAAAGGGCGACCATTGCTTCTCATGCGTGGCACGGGGTCCGAGGGTGGCGTTTCAGAGCATCTGTCGTCGCCAGGATTGGTGGAGGGTGGCACCCGACCAATGGAAGACCCCTTCTGCTAAATTGGCCGCATGCACGCGCCATCGGGCTTGCCTAATACGAGGATGTATCCATTGTCATCGTCCTTCGGAAAGCTATGAGAAGGTCGGGCTCGGAATTGCGGTTTCCCGGAAATATCCACCCCTTTGTCATTGTGCAAACGGCGCAAATGGCGTTTGAGGTCGAACTAGATTAACCAATCTATGTGCTATCCAGGGTGACGGGTGAAAAATTATTCTCACTTAGTCGAAATTGAGTTATTAAACATTCAGATGCTTTATAAGAGATAGATAATAATATTTGAAAGTTAGTTATTCTACAGAAATAACAGAGAGGACCAAAGAAACTGATGGCACATGGAATACGGCAAAGTAACTAAACTAAACAAATTCTTGCTTTTATACAAACCTCCAAGCGTTTATGGTAGTTAATGATTTTGAGACTCTTTGGCCACCTAATCAACCAAGGAGCGGGAAAATATCTTTACAACTATTATAGATCTATTTTATCAAAATCCCCGTTTTTATAATTTACATTTTTACATTATTATAATTTGTTAGTGGTTGGTTGTCCAGTCACCAAGCTGATTTTTCAAACAAACCAAGTATCATTATATATATATATATATTGATATTTTGGTTATGTCAGTC